TGCTGATTTTGTTTATCAATTTGGGGATTTGATTGACTTTGAAAACCCACTAACATTGCTTAAAATATATGCAGCATTTTAGCATTAAAAAAAAAACTAAACACTAAAAATTACCACTAAAAAATAAAAACACTAAAGTGAAAAAAAAAAAAAATCAATACAGTCACATGAAGGGTGAACAAATTGATTCTTCATCACAAAGACAAGCTAGTTACCTTGATTGTGGGAAACAGTCTACCAAAAAAAAAAATCTTTAAGAGATTTAAGTGTGAAAAGACAAAAGTGTCCGTCCACACAGAACTCTACCTGCCCCTGAGGGCAAACAATGGCTTCTCCCCCACAGCTTTCTCCTCAGCTTAGGGCCGACTTCCCACGAACTAAAAGACCTTTCAAAGCTGCGTTTAATAAGCCCCGGAAACAGTGATTACCTCGCTAAGTTCACCGGAGTGTCTAAATTAGAAACCTTCATTAGTTTATGAGCCGCCCCGGACTCCGGCCCTGCCCCCGTCCCAACACTGAGCAAGGTGACCCAACCTCTGTGGCCCCGCAGCCATAAATCAAAGGTCCCACACTAACGTGCTGGAAGAAAGAGGAGAAAAGGTCAACAGACTTTGTTGACAGTCTTCCAGTCTTTGTTTTTATACAAAAGCCTAAAAAGGAACAGTTCTTAGAAGAATAGCTAAAATACAACTTTTTTTTTTGTAATGATTGGCAAATATTTGGGTTTAGTTGACCTGTTTTTCTTATTAAACCATAAAAAAACTTCTTTTTTTTTTAATCACGATCTATTAATAATTTCAGATTTAGTCACTGTTTAAGTAAAATCAATGTGTTCTGTTAAACTCGCACCACGTCCAACACTTTCAATCAATGATTAATATTTACATTATCGAGCCTGAAAAGAGCTGAACTTTCTCGGTGTGAAGAACACGGGCAAACCTTTAACAAAGCATCAGCTCTTCCATTGCCATCTTTAAACTTCATGTCAGCCATTTGTCTATTTTGGGAAAGCTCACATGAGTCTCAACAGGCCTGTGGTCTGAATAAAGATCAGTGTTACACTGCTGGGACAAAAGCAGGGCCACAGTCCCTCCTGGCCATTCTTCGAGTCATCTCCACATGGCTGCCATTTAACTCCACTGACACAAAAGAGGGCATCAACCCAGAGCCACGGCTCCATTCATCTTAAAACTGACTGTTTTTTTTGTTTTTTTTAAGGGAGCAGGACACAGACATCTGCTGAACTGCTGGGACGCACAGAAGCCAATCATTATTACCCGCTGAATAATCCTGCAGTGTCCCAATAAACGAGAAGAAACAGTATCTTTAAAAACTTTCACCTCGGCTTGATTTATCTCTAAGGACAACAGCAGACGTCGGAGTGAAATGTGAGCCCACACGCTCTGCTCAGCTTTGCTCTGCTGGCTGGTGAACTCCCCACCCCCACCGGTCCCATCCATCCGCCCGCCTGCCTGCCCACCCACACACACACACAAACGCTATCTGGCTCTGATTCCCTCCCTCTGCAGCACGTCTCCGTCAGACAAGCCCTGTTTATAAATAGAAGAGCGTCTCTTCCAGCAGTTCTGCCGAGGCCACCTTTATTCCAGATCGAGTATCTACACTTTTGATGTGGAGCGTTTGGGAAAAAGTCTCCTCCTTTGGCCTCACTTGAACACAAACCCTTGTGCAGAACAATTACAGCAGATGCAAGACACGAGAAGTTCTACGCCGATTTACTACAGTAAACAAATGCTTCAGGCGAAAAGCGCACGTCGTATCTTAAGGAGGAACGCGCTCGTGCTGCTACACCAAGTGTTTTACAAGTTTACATTTTAAAAGAACATCCTTAGATGTTCTCCAGATGTGTGACCTTCAAAACATCTGGTAATAAAAAGCTTGTTTCTGATACAAATGAATGTGAAGCGAACATGTTGGTCCACAACGTGTTGCAGAGTACTACAGTATATACAGTAGTACAGTAGTCCCTCGCTACTTCGCGGTTCAACTTTTGCAGACTCGATCTTTCAGGGTTTTTTCAAAATAACAAAAAAAAAAAAGAGATTGTACACGACCCATAATTGTTAACTTTAATATTACTTGCGTGATTGGGACAGTACGGAATACAGGAAAAAGTTAACGAAAAAATACTTCGGACAGGCGCCGCCATTTTGTAGTTTTTTCTCGGTAAGCCTACACTGTATCGCCAGTCAAAAGGACTACATTTCCCAGAAGCCAGCAGTGCACTACCCAGAATTCCCAACAGAGCTTCCAGCCATTGCTTTCCACTGAAATGGAGGGAAAGTTTCGATCCAATCCGAAAAAATACGGTGCTTATTCATTGTGACTTTGGCGCTCAGTGGATGCAGAGAGCCGTACGGAACCGACTGGGAATTGGACCAGGACTGGACTTCCAGCATCATCGGTAAATCTGAGAGCTGCTTGCCGGCCCATGAGGCCTCTCGAGTGGGGAGGTGTCACTTGGAGGTCCGGTGTTTTCTCCGGCGCTCACTGGGACTTTTTTCATCCAGATTTGGACTCGATCGGGAACATTGTGTGGTTTTGTTTGTAGTACTGTGCAGTACAGATACATATGTTGTTAAAATGTCACGTTTAAGAGTTCAGAACATTGCAAGAGTGTGAGAAGCGTTTTTAAAGCCTTAATATACATAAATACTAAAATAAATATAGCGTTCCTACTTTGCGGTTTTTCACCTATAGTGGGGGTGTGGAACGCAACCCCCGCGATAGCCAAGGGGCTACTGTATACAGTACTTGAGGGTTATGAGTAGTCAGTAACTTACTTGCAGTAGACTGCAATTAAATTTATCTCATTCTGGAAAATCAGAATGAAATTCTCATCAGGGAATTAAACTGAACCAATACCTGCTCCTTTTAAAAGAAGCATGGACTTTGTTCTTTTAAAAGAGTAAATTTGCAAAACTGAAACGACTCAAACCTAAAAATGCAGCAGTGGTTTAAATTCATTCAACCTTTATTTATACAGGTTAGTCTCATTGAGCCTCAGGGGCTCATTTACAAATAAACGCCTTTGGCATCAAATAGTTAAAACACATTGGAGACACTTAAAAGTCTATTTTGCAACACGTGTAGTGATCCAACACAGCACTCTTCATCGTGAATACCCAAACACGTCTACGTGAACAACCATCAGATGCAAAGCGACGCCGTGTAAAGGGTTACGATAAGGCATCCACCCAAAACGCTGTTCATGTTTTGCAAATTGGGTTGTTTTAGATGGTTGAAATTCATTTAGCGGTTAGCTGGACTCATCCACAAAATAACTCTCGATTCTCCAAAATATGATCATTCTGAATGCCATCTCCTGCAGGTAAGACACTAAATCCTCAGAACTTCTCCACAGAAACCAACTTTAAGGATCTGAACTAAGCAACAAGCTGAAGCGCTTCTCATTTCCCAGCTAACTACAGATGTAATTCCGATGGTTGGTGTGGAGAAGATCCGCTGGTTAGCAGATGAGTTTTGCAGAACTGCCCGTCCTTTGCAGTCTGTGCTACAGTGGTCCATTGTTTCTACTGAAACCTGAGACCAAGAAAATGAACACTAAATACAGCAGAAGTCCCTCAAGACTTCTCTTGTTTGCAGACGCCACCAGATTTAATAACCTACAATCTAACTTCTGTAATTGTCTCCTTCGGAGCACACTGCCCACTATTGTGGACTGTAGCTGATTTGAAAGTTATTGTCAGCATTATGCAGATGGAACAGAGCTTCAGTGTGAGACAACAAGCTTCCCTGGTAACTTGGGACTCGTCATGACCACTTCAGTTACAAATGTTACATCTTACAATTAATTTTGAACAGAGTTCTCAGTCTGGACTTGTTATACTTCATATAAAGACGAGCAAAACAATTTTAAACCTACCTACATCATTGGTAAAAGCAATTGAAATAAGCCGCACAACTTTTTTTTTTTTGTCTCCACGTTGATGACACTGTATCCTTAAATTAAAAAAAAAAAAAATGCAAGCAAAATTTGCAACTGGATGGCAACTACCACGAGCACTTTTTAACTAACGAAACAGTGAAAATGACTGAAAACGGACCAACAATAACGCAAATGAAAGCGCCACTTGGGAATAAGTCCAAAAACTTTGATGCATCTGTGCCTGTTTATGCTCAGATTTACTGAAAAGTAGATAAGAAGAAAGGTCATGGAGAAGATTAGCAAAAGATGCACGTTTGAATGCTGAGCTGTTTTAATGGCGCTCCACCGCCTTCAGCAGCAGACTGACCCTTATATTTCCACCGAAACATCTTCGCAGGGATTCTACGCTTAAACAATTCCTCCATATTTGTTTACACACAAAGACTACAGCCAACCTAATGAAGATCGATCATGTGACGTTACCTTCTTTGTGTTAAATGCAGCTTTCGTTTATATCAAGTGCATACCTTCATTTCTGAATTGTATAAAAGATTCAAGGTTCAGGTTTGGTTAATTTGTCAAATGCCAAAAATCAACACAAGGTCAACAACGCAATGAAACGCTGATGCTGAGAAGGAACGGTCTCGACGCGCCCAAAAAGAAACGACAACAAGAAATACCAAAGCGTGCAGCAAAAATACAACAACAACAAAAAGGTGCCAAAAGTGAAAAAGAAATAGATCTACAGTGAGGTTCTGTTCTGTTAGCGGCGTGGTCTTGTTAGCAGCTACCCTTTATTAAGGTGACTTTATTGTCATTCGCATCACATGTGGTACATGAGGTGGAATGAAACTGCGTACTCGAGATTCCAGTCACACCCAAATATACACCTAAATATACAAATACATTTGGAAAACTACTGGAGTAAACTTCCAAACCGAACCATTTGATATAGTGTAACCTTATATGTGAGTTGACCGTTTGTGAGGGGAAACCTACAAATACAAATTTTAAAGTTGTATACACAACAAGTCAAAGACACAAAAAGATAGTAATGAAATAAAAATACACCTGCAGCGGGAATACTTACTTGAGAAAGTATCTCTGGCCAGAGGAAGTCTTGGCCATCTCCCACCCCGCGGGCAGGGGCACGTCATCAGGAATCTCGTAGGACGACTGACGGAGATGTTGAGGAGAAGCCCCCGCTGAGGCCATTCCAGACAGGGAGCCCCCAGACACAGCTCCCAACTGAAGGGAGGCTGGGGATGAGTGCGCACGGACGTGGTGGGGGGTGAGCACTGAGCCACTCCCAGCATCAGTGCTGGCCTGGGTTAGAAGAAACAAAATGATGTGAAACACACGCTGCACTGACAGAATTAAACGTTTAATAATATACAGTTTATTATTCAACTGGTTTGTCTGCTACACAAACAGCTCATGAACCACTGGATGAATTTCAATAACACACAAAGTAATCGTTGGAGGCTCATCTACAGCTGATTATCCATGCTGCTGAGCTCCTGCTGCTGATCTCATACTGCTGCAGATCATCTCATGCTGCTGATTATCCATGCTGCTGATCTCATGCTGCAGATCATCTCATGCTGCAGATTATCCATGCTGCTGATCTCATGCTGCAGATTATCTCATGCTGCTGATTATCTCATGGTGCTGATTATCGCATGCTGCTGATCTCATGCTGCAGATTATCTCATGCTGCTGATTATCACATGCTGCTGCTGATTATCGCATGCTGCTGCTTCGCATCTTATGCTGCTGTATTCATTTATACCCATCTGCTCACCACAGACTCATGTTCAGGCTTCTGTTGTTACGCCGTATTGTTTTACATTATTAGCGTATATCTTAGATCTTTTAGCGAATTGTTCGGTGTTTGTTTTAGCGCATATCTTAGATCCTTATTTACAGGTTCTTCTTAGACTTTATATTTTGCTATTTTTGGGTGTAACTGGGACCCTGAGTACATAATTTTGTTCCATCTCATGTACGTACCACAGGTGATACTAATGACAATAAAGTTTACTTGAATATTTGAACTTGAATACTTTAAGGACTGTAAGTCAGCCAGTTTTGCAGATATTGAGCTAAACTGCAGTATGGTACCAGGTGAGAGTCGAACACATACAGTGTCTACAAAACTATTTACCCATTTGTTTAAAACTTTTGTTGTTGTCATTAATCACCCAGTCAATACAAACTAACCAGTCAATACAAACTGGTGTTCTTTAGATGAATAGAAAAAGCTTTAATGTGAAAGTGAAATCAGATTTCTACATACATTACCGGTACGTTCTATCAATGTAATTTAAAAAAAGGAGACTGCATAAATATTCACTCCCCTTTAAAAGTGGCTGTCCTCATTTAACTTTGAAAACAGAAGTGAAAAGAACAAGTCAGGGGATAAATACAAATGGATTTCCAAGGCCCTAAACATCCACAGGAGTTCTGTTAAATCCATAAGCGAGAAATGGAAGGACTAAGGGAAATGTGTAAATCTACCAAGAGACGGTCATCCTCACAAAACTGGCAGTGCAAGAAGGAAAATGTTGAGACCAAAGACACCTGTGAGCACTCGCAAAGAGCTACAAGCTTCAGCAGGTGAGGTGGGAGAGACAGCATACAGGAACTGTTGCCAGGGTTCTCCAGTGAGAGATTTATTATGGGAGAGTGGCAGACCCAGTTGAAGAAAACTCTAATCAAGATTTGAGTCTCTCAACAATTTAGACACACTCAAGAAGATCCTTGAATAAAATATTTGTATTTCTTGGTGGTAAGGTGACAGGCCATGCGCATTACTTAAAGTAATAGTATTTTAATTAACTGGGCATTAACCTCTCACAATTAACACTGTTGCTTTCCAACCGTATAACCGTTTCTCAATTCAACTCAGTTTATTTATACAGCGCAACATTTTTGATTTTCTAGAATAAAAACAAAACTTTACTCAAATTACTTTTATTGACATCCCAGACATGTGTCTGTATGTATATATTTACATGTACATATTCAAGGATTCAAGGTTCTTTATTCGTCATACAAATCACATGGAGTACATGTGGTGGAAAGAAATTGTGTACACTCCCAGTTACATTCAACAAAAGTATTAAAATGTAAAGAAAAACGGTAATAAGATCTAAGATATTAACTAAGAAAAACATTAACTAAAAACATGCTAAGCACTAGCATCATAAAAATAAAAAAAAACACGCCGAACAGCAGCATGAACATGAGTCTGTGGGAGCAGAGGAGTACGAATGAAAACATTAACATGAAACAGATCAGCAGCAACGTGAAACAGATCAGCAGCAACAGGATGTGATTTTTCACAGTGATTATCCTGGTTAGAGATTCATGAGTCTAACAGCCTCAGGGTAGAAGCTGTTCCTCAGTCTAGTGGTTCTACAATTAATGCTCCTTAACCTCCTTCCTGAGGGGAGCGGGGCAAAAAGTGTGTGCTGGGTGAGTGGGGTCCTTCGTGATGCAGGTGGCCCTCTTCCTGCATCTGGAGGTGTAGATGTCTGATTGTGGGGAGAACGACTCCAACAGACTTCTGTGCAGCCTTCACCACTCTCTGCAAAGCTTTACTTTCTGCAGCTGTGCAGCCTCCATGCCACACGTTGATGTATATGCATTTATATGTATGCATGATATTATCGGCATGGTATTGGCTGATATTAGCATTAAAATATTAAAATTCAATATCGGTCATTCCATTAAAATACCTCGCCGATATAAAAGGCGCCGTTTTTGCCTACAGCGGCAGCACAAGGTGATGACGTTGCAGCGGCAGTGCAACGTGATGACGTCACGTGCGCCTAACCGATCTCACGGCGGAGAGGAAAATTCAAAATGTCAGCCGTGCGGAAGTTTTATTTTTCGTTGGCGAGGCTGTCGGATTCCGAAGACGACTACGTCGAGCCTCGCTACATCGTCCCCAGTCTGAGATATTTTTTCCGACGTAACGTTACCAGAGTTACAAGCCGTCATTTCCGACATCATTGAGACGCTAATATCCGATGGCACGACTTGTTGGATGGGTTTTACCTCAGACATTTGGACGTCGTGTTAGCCCCGTTAGCATGATTAGTCTTACGGCTACAACGGATAGACAAAAACTTTGATCTTAAAAAGTCTGTCCTTCATGCACAGGAGTGCAGAGGATCCCACACTGCAGCTAGGAACCTGGAACAAGCCTCCACAAGTGAGACAGCATCGCAGGTGACTAATGCTAATAAATAACATTTAACACTTTTCATTCAATACGAGTCAAAGTGTTATGCATATCATATAGCTGTTACTGAATATATGTCACCAGCTCTTACAGCTATTGCACAATTTTTGAAGCAAATAAAGAGGGCTATGTTCTGACGAAGGAACGTATACAAAATATCGATATTGGCATCCGTTATAGGCTAAATAAGTTTTAACATATCGTTATATTGGCCAAAAATCCAATATCGTGCATCCCCATTATATATACACACACAATCATGAATGTAGTACTCCCTACCACCTTGTGCATAGTCTTTTTCTAAATTAGTATTCTGCGTGTTTATGTCATGTCTTTTTTCTGTATAATTACAACATGTTACTGGATGCGTCAAATTTCTCCCTAGGATTAATAATCTGTGTGTCTGATTCCAAACTGCAGGAAACGTGAGTTTATTCATTGTACCATTTGTAAACTTGTCTATAAAACTTCAGGTGTCAACTTCGCCCACAGCATTTCTACAGACAGTTTTATTTTTCATGTGGTTGGACGTGCAGCTCTGTTTAGAAACGCCAACAGGCCCAGGGAAGAGGAGAAAGGCCCTCTGGAGCGCTGCAAAACCACGCATGCGCACTAGCTACAAAACTTTATTGAGGAGTTGAGAGATGAGGTTTTTTTGGGGGGGTGGGTGAATTTAATCACAGTACACTTTTTTACAGCACAAAAATCTTAATTTTATAAGCAATAATGTATTAATAAAAGACTGGGGAGTTTTAATTGTTTTAGCTAAATATGACTAAACAGAAAACTTTTAAACAAGTTCAGACAAAGTGAGTTTACAGGAAACCACAAGTTTCCGTGGATCAGCCTAATCCAGAAAGACTTCTCTCTGGAAGAGCCACACATACTTCACTCCTGCTACTTGTACATAATTAATATAGTTCTTTGGACACATTTGTACAAGTCGTGGTAACTAAAACCGGACCATCTTCAAACAGGATGGGCCCAGCTTCGGTTTGAGAAGAAGCGAGCAGGGCGGGCTTACTTGTCTGGAGTGGGACTTGGGCTCGGGGGGGTTGAAGAAGGAGTCCGGCAGCTTCCTCATCCTCATGGGCACACAGTGCGGGATGTTCGGGCTGGTCGGGTTCATCACGATGTTAAAAAGCGTCTCCAGGTCCGTTTCAGAGTCGCCCCGAACATGGACGATTTGGTGTCCGGCAGGAGGGTTGTGTTGGCTCGGGTCCATTTTGCTTAAAAAAAAAAAAAAAACTCAAAAGAATGTGAAGTTTAAAAATTAAATAATAAAAAAAAAAAGGTTTGGTAACTTTCAACGAGCCGATCCCAAACTCTTTGACACGCAGCAGGAAAAGTGGAAATCTCGACGCCGCTCAGTAAAAGTTACCTGGAGCCATTTTTTTTTTTTTTACTTTTTCTGGAACTTTCTGTTTTAAAGTGCGCTAGCTGTCAAAGTAGGCAGTAAAAGTTCTCCCGCTGTTTCCAGCTGGCATACTTGAAAACGTAACGAAGTTGTCCACACTGGAATCTGTGTTGTCGTCCGGCCCCGACTCACTCACTCACTCACCCCCACTCCACAAAAAAAACAAAAAAAACGCAAAGAAATACAAAACAAAAGCAAAGAAAGTTTCCTCCGGTTCTCAAGTAAGGTGAGCGCAAACTTGTAAGTTTTGTTTCAGGAGAACGTCATGGTTAGCTGCTGTGCAAATCTCCACAGCTCTCTGTCTCAGGAGAGAAAAAAAAAAAAAAAAAGTTTCCTCCCGTTCACTCCAAACTTTGGGCAGGACATCAAACTTTATCGTTTTCCAGAGGCGGAGCTAGGCTCTGGCTGGGATCAGATATTTTAAAGGTACAGTCCACCACAGCCACCCCACCCCCCCACAAGGTAAAAACAACTGCTTCTTTTGGCTACATGAAATAAAATCTGTTTAGTTGAGTTTAGTTTAGTTTGAATTATTAAAACACTATGATGGCGATGTAGGGCCACGCTAAAAAAAATTATATTGCCATAAAATTACGAGAATAAAGTCGTACGAGACGTTTGTTTTTTTTTTTTAACAGCTGTCGTTAATTTGCTTTTAATGTTTAAATTTGCCCCTTTTTAAATGTTTTACTGTGTTTTTATGTGTTTTGCATTGTTGATTTTATTTTTTAACCCATGCAAAGTGTTTTGAATATTTAGAAAAGCGCTATACAAATAAAATGTTTTTTTTTGTTGTTTTTTTTCCGCGAGTCGGATCCACGACGCAACCTGTCAATCAATCCAGTAGGCGCGTCAGCAAATGACCAATCCGAAACTAAACGAGTCGTAGTATCATCCGAACTCCGACACGATAAAGCAGGGTTTAGCGCATTTTAACTGGTAAAATGAAGAATGTTTGTTAAACATTATTGTTATTGACGCTCTTACTCAAAACGTGATCCAGTACTGTCACCTGCTGTTGTGTTTTTGTATGCTGCTTCTGAGATGCAGATAGGCGACGTCATTACGTCATGACTTTTGTTTCCGTTTGAAAACGGCGCTCAGTGAGCGAAACTGTGTGCGTGCAGCGCTAGAGGTCTTTAATAAATATACCAGAAAGACCCAGCGACTCACTTAGCTTCGGATTGTTCATTTGCTGACACGCCTACCAAATTGATTGACAGGTTGCGTTGTGGATCTCCTGGGAAAAAAAATTAAAATAAACGAGAGCTGTAAAAAAAAAAAAGTCTTGTACGACTTTATTCTCATAATACTACGACTTTATTCTCATAATTTTATTGCTTTTATTTTTCTTTCTTAGCGTGGCCGTAAAGCTCTGTCATAAAATACAGATCAAATGTATTAAGAAAAAAATAATAATAACAGTGTAGGAAGAGGCAAAAGCCCAATGGACTTATCAAGGATTCAAGGTTCTTTATTTGTTATACGCACATGTGGTACATGTGGTGGAACGAAATTGTGTACACAGGGTCCCAGTTACATCCAACAAAAGTATAAAATGAAAAAGAAAAGCAGTAATAAGATCTAAGATATGAACTAAGAAAAACGTTAACTAAAAATACGCTAAGCACTAGTAGTACAAAAACAATGCGCTGAACAGCAGCACGAACATGAGTCTGTGTGAGCAGATGAGCACGAATGAACAGCAGCAGGAAACAAATCAGCAGCATAAAAAAGCCCCCACCCAATACATATAAATAATACTTATATATCCAAGAATACAGTCACTTGATCATGAATTTAGGAATACAGTCATACAGAAAAAATACAATAAAAAAACATGTCTACAAAGTATTAATAGAAATTTGGATAAAATGTGTAACAATTGAAAAGTGACGATCACAATTTTTAAATTGAATAAAGTTTTAAATAACGTTTAAACTCTTTTACAGATGGCTGCCTGTTACCAAATGCGAACAATCATTCCTAACTTTAGCTCCCCTGTAACGGAGAGAAAACTGACCTCTGCTGGTCTGATATTTAGGAAGATGAAGTAAGACTGAAATTGCATATTTTACTTAAAGTAATAGGTAAAATGCTTTGGTATATCCTCTTGACTTACATAAATCTTATAAACAAAAATACAAAAAAAAAAAAAAAAAGGCGATTCAAAGATGTACCAACTTTTATTTTTTTCACATCCAAATTCCTTTTGGCTTATGTGTAAGAGTTCCTTATGGACTTTTTAGAAGTACTGAGCAAGAGGCAAAAGTCTTCATCCATGCTAGGCTAATGGTTAGCCAAACAAATATCTGAGTGATATAATTTTTTCAGGCTTTTAGAGCCACTCTTTCTCAAAAAGGAAATTCTGGTGTGAAAAAAGCTACATGAGCTCATTTTCAACATATACACGTTTACATACACATATGTAAATATACATATTTATTTTATTTGTTCCTGTTAGAGCTGCTGTTTAATATATTGTATTATTTTACATTAATAGTGTTTAGCACATTTTTTAGATCTTTTAGCCTTCATTTAGCCTTTGTTTAGCAAATATCTTATATCCTTAGGTACTGTTTCTTTTTATACTTTTCATTTTTGCTGTTTTTGGCTGTATTTTGGATCATAATTACCGGTAGATTGTTATGTGCTGCTGATTGTCCGTGCTGCTGATCTCATGCTGTTCATTTGTTTCATGCTGCTGTGTTCATTTGTACGCATCTGCTCGCACAGACTCATGTTCATGCTGCTGTTTGGCGTATTGTTTTAGTATTATTGACTGTTTAGTTTAGCGCATTTCTTAGTTCACATCTCAGATCTTTATTACTGTTTTCTTTTACAATTTATACTTTTGCTATTGTTGGACGTAACTGGGACCCTGTGCACACAATTTCGTTCCACCTCATGTACCACATGTGATGCAAATGGCAATAAAGATACTTAAACTTTAACTATTTGTACTGGCTTATTTGCATTTTGCACAATGCCCAGGACATCCTTGTAAAAAATAATAATAATCTCAATGGATTTCTGTTCTGGTAAAATATAAGTTTAAATAAATAAAAAATATATACATTTTTACACATATACACTACACTCAGTCCTCACCTCCTTCTACAGGTGTGCAGTGGAGAGCATCCTGTGCGCCAGCGTCAACGTGTGGCACGGAGGCTGCACATCTGCAGAAAGAAAAGCTTTGCAGAGAGTGGTGAAAGCTGCACAGAAGTCTGTTGGAGTCAGTCTCCCCTCCATCACAAACATCTACACCTCCAGATGCAGGAAGAGAGCCACCTGCATCATGAAGGACCCCACTCACTCAGCACACACACTTTTTGTCCGGCCCCCCTCAGACAGGAGGTTGTGGAAAATTAAGTGTAGAATCATTAGACTGAGGAACAGCTTCTACCCTGAAGCTGTTATACTCATAAATCCCTAACCAGACAAATCACTGTAATGCCACTTTAATCGGACATTTGACACTTTATATGTGCTGCTGATTATCCACGCTGCTGATTTCTTACTCATAAGCTGCTATATTCATATCTATCTGCTCACAACAGACTCATGTTCAGGCTGCTGTTTAATACACCTTATTATATTATATTGTATTATTGATTAGCATATATCATAGAGCCTTGTATACCTTTTCTTTGTTTTTAATATACTTTACATTATTGCTAATTTTGGGTGTAACTGGGGCCTTGAGTACACAATTTCATTCCACCTCATGTACCACATGTGATGCGAATGACAATAAAGTCAACTTGAACCTTTTGCATGAGACCATTTGTTTAGTTTGTTGCAGGTTTTGTAACCAAACGTCTAGAACGTTCATGCGCAGTTCATCTATAGATCGTGTAGTGCCAGGGGTTCCGAATGCATCAGTTTGCTTGACGAACGTGGAGTTATATTAATGTGCCTCTGCAATGACAAAATTTGTTCTCTGCATTTGACCCATCACACACGAGACATGCACAAATGGAGCAGCAGGCTGCTATTTCATTTGCCCAGCGTGTATGAAGGGGCTACCATATTTTGCTAAGTGACACCGCAACATATGGACATGGCAGGAAATCGACGTTTACTCTTTGTGAATTGATATGTTTAACAGCATCGGTACTATGGTCTATCTATGTTCCTCACACATACATTTGCCAGGTAACCATAGACAATGATTAGACTAAGTGTAGCCACCTTCTTTAGTTGTTTGGTCTTGAAGTCAACAGGATCTGCTTTGTGGAAGCTGCCATCTTGTATTTTTGGTAACAGCGTCAGCGCACGAGCAGTGTGGGGCTTTAAGCCCGGCACACAATCATGATAATATTGCACGACTGTTTTAAATGCACGCGATAAAGAATTGTAGCTAAACTTGTTTGAGAATTAAATATTTGAAGGCATAGCAGTGAGGTAAGAGCTACACGAACCAACAGTTAGCATCTAAAAAATGTGTATGCATTTTTTTTTTTTTTTTTTATACCAAGAGTATAATCTTGTTTAAATGGAGGGCCTGCTGGACTTAAATCCTGTACTAGGTCCATCCTGTGGTAAAGCTGTAACAGCTCCCACTTCAACTTCCGGCTTCTCTTGTAATTTAATCAATGTCTAAGGTAGTAACACTGATGTTTTGTTACGAAAACAGCAACAAACTGAACAAACAATGTCAAGCTAAAGTATAGAAGTTTAATATTAGCTATCATATTGTACTTTCTCACCTGTATCTTGTTTTTGACAATGACAATGACAAAACATCGAGCCCTTGTTTGGTTAGCTGTTAACCTAGCATAGTTGAAGACTTTTGCCATTTTCTCCATACTTTGCACTATGACTGATACTACAGCTGGTAGGGTACTAACTATTGATAGAT